TTGGATTTTCCAAGAATGTAGACCAAAAAGTAGTCCTAATTGGCTAAGAATCATCAAACTTTGTCAGGTAATGCAACTTGGGTCTTAGGATACTTTAGGGTTAGAGGCTTCAATTAAAAGTGATAAGTTGTACAATTTATCAGAAGAGCAATTCAAGGCCCTTGGGCCTCTTGTTTATTCTGTAATATATTTTTTATGTTTATTTGTATGAAAATCATATTCCTATCAACATAATTAATATTTGATTGTGACTATCATTTAGAAATTTCTCTATCTATTCAGTTATTTATGCCTTCTGGACAAAACTATGGAAATAAATACATTATTTACTTACTTGAAGATGATTCCATGGGACCCAGGTCTTTGTTCGAGAGATAAAAACTTCGAAAATCTAGAAGAAAGAGCAGCAGTAAATTTGCTTAGTTATATACGAGGAAAAAAAACAGGACCAGAGGTTCACTTCGAGAAATCGGGGTTTGAGCCATCGAGAGTCACCAGTATGTACAATATAACATGACCTCTGTTTTCCCTATTGATGTACAAAATAAGTAGCCTCTGGTTTCCATATTTGTAAAAATCAAGTGTCCTCTTTTCTCCTTAATTTTGCACAATGTAAGCTTTTTGTTTACTGTGTAGCACTTTTTCCTTGGCCTTCACAATTAAGCAGTTGGGTTTATAGATGCCAGAGGCACAACTGTGTGACTGTACCTGTGTTTGAAAAAAAAATCTAGCACATGAATGTCATTGTATGCCTATTGGAAGTAAAGTTGATTTGAATCCTACATGTAACGAACTCGAATGGAGAATATAAATTATTTTCTCAATTCGGGCAACAACTAGTGTGTACCATGAACCATACACAATTTCTCTCTTGTTAGGACTTCTGAAAATATTCTCTTTCAAATTATTTTGAAACTATTCATAATTATCGTAAATATAGGAGAAATTATAGTTTTGGTCACTACCAATAGTAATAGCTACTTCCCATTTGCATGGAAAGTTGTCTGTCTTTTTTTTCAAATGTGTCCTATTGTGAAAAATTTGCGAGACGATGGTTTCATAAAGTTATGTTTTTAAAGTAAATTAGATTATAATAAAACTGCTTCAAACGAAATATTAATTTACTGGATTGCTTTTGGGTGTTTTTTAAATACCAGTATCTCATACATTGTGTTTATAGGGATTTCCCTAACAATGTAGTTGGCTTTGCATGTGTATCTCTTTTACAACAGCTTTACTAGTATTTTGGAATGAACGAGTCATTTCTACTGCTGAGTCCGACTTCAGATCAATCCTAGAACCAGCCCTCAGTAGCCTGTTCTTTGTGTTATCTCCTGCTGAGGGAGAATTCTTAAATAATTTAATTTTGTTTGTGTTCTAGTCTCTCATTGGTTGATTACCAAAAAGGAACGCAAATTATTTCTTAATAACCTGGTTCGGTATGGGAAACATCCCCTTGACAACCAGCTGAATCATCTGTATCCAAACAATCCCATCATTTCCTGTCCTTGTAATTCATGAGAAATTCCAGATTTAATAAACGTACCTTTAACTTCAAACAGTAGCTCGATTTAACCTTGTGTACACAAACATCATTGCTGCTAGATCTGTATATCAGTTATTACCTCCTCTTGTTTCATATCACTTCCGTTACTAGGGATGTATTATAGAGCGGCAAATTTGAACTCATAAAAAACAACACAATTTTACACTAACAGTTGTTTAATTATTTTAAAATTAAATTATAAGGAATGACTCTAATTCTTGGCCAAATTACTCGATGATTACCTGGTTTGGGACAGTTTACGCTTTATAATCCGCTTCAGTTTACGCTTTTTTATAATCCGCGTAAAGCGTAAACTGACCCAAACCAGGTTATAATCGAATAATTTGGCCAAGAATTAGAGTCATTCCTTAAATATTGTAGATTAAGATAAGTGTGTGATGTCTGAAATATTTACATTTACTTTTTTGGTCGACATACATGGGGTTCTTATCTTCATTTAAAATAAATTAACATGATGTCAAATTTATCAATTTCAACATACTAGTTGCTAATATTACAGTACTGTACTGTTCAGATTCTTGTAGGTATATCTTTCATAATGACAAACAGTACTTTATGTTTCACGCACACAGTCTATTCTCTAGATACAGTTATTTGTGGCATGTTGAAGATGGATGGCATCAAGATTAGGTCCTTTGTTTTATTTTCTTTACCTGGCATTGTATTACATGTACCATAGCACAAGGAGATATAACAAGACTGTTCGCATAACTTATCTAGCAAAAGAAAGACTGTCACAGGAATTCGTTATGTACGACACTGTTGATAGGGAAAGGTACAATGAAGCTGTAGGTAATTTGTCTTTGTCTAGAAGGATGGGAAAAGCCTGTGTGGATGATGTGAATTTATTTAATAATAACCCCTGTATTGAATTATGTTTAGAACAGAATGTGAGTCAACAAAATGGATTTGGACTCTTAAGAATATGTCCATTTGTATTGTTAGAAATGTTGTCAGTGTTATCTCACTATAGACTAGGTAATAGATTTCAGTGTCTACAGTTGATACGAGAACTACAGACATTGTTACTCTGCCATGATGAGAGATATATTTCTTCAGATAGCAGCGACTTATCCTGGCAGATACTTGGAATCTGTCAGCAGGTTGTGGGAGATTTACACGGTGCTTTACAATCTTATAAAGAGTCTCTTAGAAAAGAACTAATCAGCAATGTAAAAGAAGCTACATGTTTTAGAATAGAATGTATTAAACAACAATTACATAGAAATGAATACATGTAAGAATATGTTTCAGTGATTAGATAATTATAAACCAGGCTGCAGTACTTATTCGTTAAATTAAATCAATGGAGCACACAGTGTAATCTATGGAATATAATTTTTTCTTTCTTTATAATTAAGGAATGTTTTTCAGTTTTGTGTGTGTTATTGGTGTATGAATCACACAGACTTGTCACGTAGGCATATTTCATGAAGCGCGCTATATCGTTGCATTTTTACTAACGTTGCTGCAGCCTCATTATGACGTCATGTTAACGCACGTTTCTCCGTGTATATTTCTACACTTGAGTATACCTTCCTTGAGTATACACGAAAATGGTTTTCAAATCAATTTCACAGTTGGTTTACAAGAAAAACACAGCGAATGTAAATATTTAAAAATCCATGACGTTTAAATCTCTATAACACACGCGAAACCTTGTCACCGCGCGTTAGAATACCCTGAAGGAATTATATGCATTTTCAATACTCTAGAACACCAAAATGTATGTTGTTTTGACTCAATTTAAATTGAAAAACTATAACCCTACACTGTTAAATAACTGTAAATTAAATGCAACAAATGTGCGTTTTAAATTAGCTTGTCTTTTTTCCCCTTTCAATGTTTGTTTGCATTATTTATCTTTGCAAAGCCATAAACAGCTCTTACGTCTATTAGACATACCAGTTTTGAATAGCGCTTAATTCACAATAAAGATTGACGAAATAAGGAATTATGTAGAGGAGAAATTAGATAATCTAAATAAAAGCAATGAAAACGCGCTATATTCAATTTGACGGCACGGCCAGATGTGTTTAAGGACCGACTACATCCGAAAATATGAATTCAATGATTAAATTAATGTTGTTAAAAATAGTAATTTTGTGCTTTATGTGTTGAAGATCAATATGTCCTCATGTAATATTGTTAGCAGGAATATAATGTGTACTAGTATAACATCAGTATGTGTGAAAAGATAGATGCCAACGTAAATCTTTGAATTGCCAAATACGTAACGTCATACGTAGATACATGACGTTTTGACATTTGTGACGTTATTTTAAAAAAAACGCGATTACGTTTTATTCATAACGTAAATCGCACCTGTCTTTTTTAATACAATCTTCCGGAAAAATATCAAGCATCATAATAGTTTAGGTTTTGGTCATTAAAATTTGCGCATCTGAGCTCCATATTTTATTAGATTTTTATTTTATTTATTTATTTTATGTTTATTTATTTTTTTTTGTATAATTTTTATTATAATATTGTTGAGCAACGAAAAATAGAGATCGGGGCCTGCTTATGAACAGTTTTTACTAACGACGAAAACCCAAACTCTTTAGTGATTATAAATTTTTGCAAAATAAATGATTTTGTTTAAAAATGCCATTGTAAAATATATTATTCCATTCCTTTCAAAAACGATTTTCAATATAAACAAATTTAATAAGTTATAAACAGAATTAAATTTTGGTCTTAGTCGTAAGTTCTAGTGCAAAGCGAGCCCCAAGTATGGCTTTTCATTTAAGAAATGAATGTAATATTTTTTCCTTTGATCGATGTATCAAAGAAAAATTTGGACGGAAAACTTCATCAATGCGCTACGCGCATTGATGAAAAAGTTTTCTGTCCAAATTTTTCTTTAATACATCGATCAAAGGAAAAAATATTACATTCATTTGTTATCATTTAATTATGATTTTGAATAAATAAAACGAAACTTTCTTTCAGCTTTCTATTGAATTTACGCATCAAAAACAGTGCGCACGAATACATCAACATAACGTTAACGTTGCTGAAATTCAAAATGGCTCAAACGAGGAAACGTTCTCAAATATTGTCGTGGCATTACCAACATTCTCTGAAATAATTTACAGTTCTTTAACACAAAAAACTTACCTGGTGTGTTATCCCAATCGGTATATTTTCCCCGGTAAGTTATCTAAGTTCGTAAATGTAAAGGGAAGCTACTCAAATATCCTAACAGTTGGTCACAGAAATTTTGGATTTCTATTTGCACATCTTTTCATCTGAATATATCATAAATACACATGTTACTGTACGTATCACAACCTGTCAATGCTGTAAAACTGAAAGAGTCTGCCGTCGACTGTGTTAGATTAAACGAATATGTCCTCATTCATGCAGTGTCGTTTTTCACGATCATCCGTTTCCCAAAATTTAACAGATTAATGGTTTTCCTCTCTTTGGTAGCATAAAAAACGTTTCTTCAGAATTCTATTGTTCATACCAGACATCTCAAAGCCAAACATTTTACAAAATTATGTCGATTTCTCTCTTTCTTTCCCAAAACTGTACTGTTGTTATGCAGACGATTTGATTTGTTTAGCAAAGGGCGATAATTCAACAAGAAACGAAAGTAGAAAATAAGTCAGGAACATAACGGACAGATTTCGAAATTCAGGAAAATATTTATTGAAGTAAAATTATTTTATTATTCCTTCAAGAAGTAAGTAACCTGGAAGCGGGAAATATACATGTAGAGACTGCCAAGTAGTTCCGGCTGCTTAGTGCAAGCGAACTCTAGATTTTATTGATGCAGGTATCAAAAGAATTTTTCAACCAATCAGAATCAAGTATTTCATAGAAATTAAATGATATGTTGATACCCTGGATATATTCGTCACATTGTGGTGACGGCCGGGGATTTACTTTAGATTATCCTGAAGCACGGTGATGGACATCAAATAAAATTAAGTGTCGGGAAATAATAAAAAAAAAAGTTTGTAATGATACATTGTAGAATTGACAAGTACTTTTATGTTTTACTCAGATTGCTAAAATCCAACATTGGTAAAAAATAAAAACATAATTAAGTGCCGCAAGTCCAAACTATTCTTCTTCTTCTGGACAAACATGCCTGTCCGAACAGGCAAAGTGTAGGCCTCTGCGGCAACTTCTACATTGCGATCTTGATCGTCGTCGTTGCCCTGTTGAGCGATCGGAACACACGATGCAATCCTTTTCTTTGTTACCTGCAGTATAAAAGAGTGTTAATAATTCGCTTCCCTTACAGCAAGCTATAACTTATCATATATCTTCAAAAATGGATTTAGGTCTCAAGATTAAAGACAGTCTGATTTAAATATTATTTATTTAGATTAAAGGTTTATCAATTTTATTCAATCAAAGGTCAACAAACCATTCACAGAATTTCATACCCATATACGTACTTATGTTTATTAATAGTTTTTACTTGTTTTTATGTATATAATGTGGACAAAATAAACGACAAGGATGCAAATTTGAATTATGTTACAGACCTTCAGAGACCGTAGCCTATGTTTAATTAGGCTGAGGGGTGTCAACAAATTAACCATAAGATATAACTTAACCCCTTTCCCTACAGTCAGGCATTTTTACTCATATACCATTTCCTATTTCTAACGCAAAATCACGCATATACCGTTTCCCCGCAATCACGCATTTTCACGCACTTCAAAATGTTCATTTAATCTTTAATTTAATGCCAATTTCCTTCTATTTTATACTTGCAAAAATCTCAAAAAATAAGAAAAGTTATTTATGTATTAAAATATAACTGCAGAATATTATTTACGCTAAACTTTAGAGAAACGTGTACCACGCTAAAACGTGTTTGCGGGGAAATGGAAAATTTCTATTTCTATGACGTGAACATTCAGTGTATGTTGCATAACAGTTCACTAAGTTGTAAAGAGTTAAAATAATACAAAGTTTATTTACCTTGAATAGGTTGTATCCCAATATTCCTATTCCTAATCACCCCTCTAACAGGCTTTCCTCTATTAGCATGATGTTCTCTACTGATCTCCTCTATAACCTCCTGTACAAATCTCAATCTGGGTTTTATTGGCATGTCTGACGTATTTTTTTTATACAAAATATATGCATTACTGCACATTCTGTGTATGATATTAAACGCAAGTTTCTTCCGAACTTTAGTTGACTTTCGATTATCATTGTAAAAATGCAATAACATGTCAGCTCCATCAACTCCCCCCATGTTCATATTGTAATGATGTACTATTTTTGGCTTTCCGTTGGAGTTTTCGGCATTCATGAATGTACTTAACATTCTTACAGGCTTTTTCCCTCCCTTCCTTTGTAAGCCGCGGCCAAAATGTCACCCTGTCTGACATAAACACTTTCATTTGGTCCCACATATGCGTTTTTGATTGAAAGGGGCATTTTTCTGTTGGATCGTAGTGTCCCTGTCAAATATGTACCCATGTCAATCAACCTTCTTGCCAAATCAAAACTACAAAAAAGCTGTCGCAAACAACATGGTAACCTTTCCGGAGTAAATTACAATTTTTTAAAAGTTGTAATACTACTTCTGTTCCTTGCAACATATTTGAAGTTGGTGTAAAGGTTTTACCCAAGTAGCATTTTAAGTGAGCAACATATCCAGTAGCGCTTTCAGCCAATACCCAGAACTTAACACCAAACTTTGCAGCTTTAGAGGGTATGTATTGCAGCATTGAGGTTCGACCTCTAGTGCCAATTAATGACTCATCAACACAAATATTCCTGTCCGGCGTGTAGAAATAATTGGCGACACGGCTGAAGTGGTCGATGAGTGGTCGAATTTTGCCATCAGGTCTGTAAAGTAATATTTATTCATGAGGCCACACCAATTGAATTTCATGTTCGTCGGACATTTAATGAAAAAAATAAGAGCGGGTAATTAGCGGTTAAATTTTAACAGTACATGTATTACTTTTAATGAGCAAACTTTTAAGGCAGAGCATGAAAAAAATGAGCAGACAATTATATTTTTTTTAATTTGCAGAGTAAGCAGATTAAAAATACGATAAATGTGGCGGAAATGAAACATGAAATAGTACTGAATTCCCATGGTGCGGGAAATTTAAACTAATATTATTATGATATCACCAACTTTTCAAATGATATAGATAAATATGTAAAATAGCTGATTAATTGTTTATATATATCATTATGAAATATTTGTATATTATTGACAATAAATATAGATAAAAAAATTATATTTTGTACAGTTTTGAAAAAATACGAGCGCGTGGGTCCGAAAAACATTAAAATTTTATTTGTGTGGCCTTATGATTTGTTTTTTGTTATCAGTATTGCATTTAAAGACATACGCAACCTAAGTTGCACTTTGTTGACTTTATTCCTAGATTTAAAGAGTTTCAATATTTAAAGGACTCGTTCATCTAGTTTTGAATCATTTTATTAAACAAATTATACGTAATAAGAAAATTTTGGTTCGTAGGGTGAAATGCAAAATTCACCTGTTATTTGGACTTTTTCGCTCTGGGATTTTCCTGTTGTCAACAATGTGAAAAAAAACTTCAGAATAAGCTGGAACCGGTTTCTAGGGAACATTCTTATGAACCATCGATTCAACTGGCTATCATGCCTCTTGTTCCAATATTCCGCAATGGTTGGTTTCCTGATTAAACCCATATTCAGTATCACAGCAATGAACCTTTTCATTTCACTTATGGTCACAGGAACCCGATTCCTTGCTCGTGAAAATCGAGACAGAAAAGAATTTCTAATCTGATTTCGAGCATACCTAAATTGTGTATAAATTGTACATACGGTATATTTTTTATACATACAAGAGAAAATTTCTGAAATAATTATTAAATATTGATTTAAAAAATTATACTTTCATGAATCATTTATGTTGTCGTTAAAAGCAGATCGAAAGAAGGTCATAAAGGAAGGGAAAATGCGTTAGGATTTTTTAAAAACATACAATATGTACTAGTACTTGTTATCATAGTTATGAATATCAAACTACATGAAGCATAAAAGAGCTAAGATTTTTTTCATGTGAAAATTATTGATTTAAATGTGATAGTCATAAGATATCCTTGCACTTTTTATACTAAATTTGATATGCTAATTAAGTAGAAATTTTGTGTCGTATCATTAAAAATATATATATATATATACACCAGTGCAATCAAGAAAAGTCAGATTAGAATTAAAGAAAGCAAAACCAAAACACTAGTTTGTTTATTAATTTTTTTTTTTGGGGGGGGGGGGGGGAGGGGTAAGTGCAGTACCAGCAAAACGAACGCAAGTGCGTTTGGTGGAGTACTGGTATCTGGAAGCGGAGAAATTACTGTGTTTTTCGTACTTTAAGATATTAAAATCAATCGCTGTAAAAGGTTCATTTAGCTTAATTTCCCCAATAAATAAATTACACTTCAATCCCGAATATACGGATGTGGAGTGTATACATGTATATACACGGTGAATGTTGACCAACTTTATGAAAGACACTAAAACCGGAGTTATTTCTTTTTAAATAGGGACATTTTTTATTGTAAATATTCCAAGTGTACATGACTATGTTTTCTTAAAATCATGAAAATTGTGTCCCACAAAGTGCACAAGACTTTGAAAAGCAAACTTTGAACGTTTATTAACAATATAGGTAGAAAAAATATATACATCGACAATTTTTTTTTCAATTCTTACAGGATAAATAACCGGAGAATATTTTCACATCCCAATATACCTATCCGTTTTGAAATATTTTTTTTTTAAAAAGCGCTTAATTAACAAGTAAAACTAAATTTTTTATTTAAAAGGTTACATAATTATATATATATTTATATATAAAAATACAATTACCTGTTTGTTTGTCGAACAATTTCTCTTATAAGATTCAAGTTGAAGAACAACAGGAAATATTGCAAGGGACTTGCATTTCGAGGTGGCATATTCTTTGGGCCTGGATTGCCGGTAAAAGGTTTCTTTGGCACCGGTTCAGGCGGCATAACTCTGAACCAAACACCAGCCATCGTTCTCAGCGTCTGGTATAACACGTACGTGCTATTGTGACGTCATGTACGTAAAAATGACGTTATTTGTAGAACACCTTATTTTTGAGGCAAAAAATAAATTGTAGGCATAAAGACCAACTAAATTTAAACGGGGTAAAAATAATTTTGGGGAAAGAAATTGTGTATTTAATGAACATATTAAGTGCACAGATTATAGTGTATTGATGTGTTTATTTTCAAACGTACACAGAATATTATGGGGAAAATCAATAAATATCATAATCATTTACAAGTGTCATTAACTTAATTTTATTCATTTTTTTTTTCATTTACCAGTTTTCTGCGATTAAATTAAAAAGTAATACATCACGAAGATACTAATGTGCAACGATAATTCACATTAAATAGTTGAAATGCGTATCCACAAACCGAATAAAAAAATCGGCCCAAAATCGGCCCCGTGGCACTCTACGCAACTGTGTGATCGGCCCAAAATCGGCCATGTGGCACAGAAGTGGTTAATAAACTTTTCGTCAAGAGGTTGCACTTTCCCTCATACCGTTCTTACATTTCACGGCTGATTGTGAGTAATTCTGAACACTGATTTGATAGCATAGCTACAAAGATTCTGACCAGTTTTCGTAATTCTCGGTCAGGCGATCAAAAGAAAATTGCATATTATGTTAAGCTGGGTTTCTTTTTCCTTTTAGTACACTGTACCATAATTAACTGCATATCCATGTTTTGTCTTTTTTGGTATACGTATGAAAAAATATTGTTTTTGAAACGAGGCAAGCTTTTGACAAAAACGTAAATGAGTCAAGAATATCAACAGTCTCATTTCAAGTTGTTTAAAGTCCAAATGTAAAGATATTTATACTCGTATGTGAAGGTGATATCACGTTCAACACATGACGTTGCAATAAAATACAGTACCTGGCCGTCAGTGAGTCATAATTCTATTTTCCACGATATATTTCATTGAAAAATGCATTTTCCTAAAATACTATTGCAGTGTTATTTTTTGCTCATTTTTTATGACTAAAACACTATAAAATGCAGAATTCTTTGTAGTTTCTTCATATTATTTCTAAATAATTTATCTTTAGGCATTGCAGTGAAATCACAGGTCAAGCGCAAAATAGAATTTTTTCAAGACTTCAATTTGTTAAGAAATCTTAGTAATTTAAGTTTAGAAATTTTTGTCTTGACAGTTTTATAATTTATTCACAATGATTTGAGTCTCATTTTGTTATTCATTTTAAGACAAGAAAATTTGAATAATTCTGCATGATTCAGTGAAAATTGAGCTAAAATTGGTTTTACAACAAGTTTTTATAAAAATGGATTTTTCAATTAAATATATAGCGTAAAACTGCAATTATGACTCACTTATGGCCACATACTGTAAATTAACACCATAAACGCAACATTCTGGCAATATGAAAGCAAACAGAGAAATTATTTTCCAAATTAACTGGCGACTAGACAGATTGATTTTTGATATCTCAATGGTTTTAACCTCACCTTATATTGGCATTTTGAAATTCTTGACTAATTCGTCTACGTTTTTTTTAAAAAGTTATTTAATCCTTTTCAAAGAAACTATTTCCCAAAAACTGGCTTTAGAACCGTTTACGGTTTTTTCTTTCTATATAAAGTGTAAAAATAGTACTACAAACTATACTGCGTTTACAGTATTTTAGCTTTAAAACTACTCAGACGCATTTTATTTTTTTAAAAATCAGATAATATGCCATCAATTCTTAAGAACATTATATCAAAATTCAGGACATGTTCTCTCGTGAAAATTGTTAACGAATAAATCCACAACCTACCATAAGTTTTTTCCTTAATTATACAACTTGACAGACTAGTGACGCATTTGTTTCGTTTTTTTTTTTTTAGATTTAAGAAATTGTTTCTGTGGTGGTAATTTGAGCCTAAACAAAAAGACAAACCTCTATTAGTGACAAAGCTTAAACTTTTATAATATCTATCTGTGAAACAAACTTACATTCATTATGGACTTAATGGAATGTGAGAGTCCTGATGAAGATCATATTCCATATGATCTCGATGAGGGGAAAGAGTGTTTTTTTTACTTCGGCCGCTAAAGAAATTATAGGTGGAGAATTTCACGAAGGGAGACAAGATTACGGACATGACAGGAGACAAGCAATGTATAATGCATGGGTCAAGAAAAGGACATGTAGATACCAGATACCAGATTCCACTGAAATGTCTATGGATAGCTCAAAAATAATCTTGCCTTCAAGGCCGGCAAAATCTTATTTTACTAGTGATTTATCAAAGATCACTGTTAAAACGGAAAACAAATACCAGTTACCATTTAGTTCTGATTTTGGACAAATTTTATTTTTACATCAAGACAACCAGGGAGAAAAAAGCATAAAAGATGAAAAATCCTTGAAAGACCAATGCAGCGAAAAATCGAATCTTAAAAACACCAAATCAAAAGCTATTGTGTTTCATACATTTCATCATACGAAAAAGTATGGCATTGAGCAAAAATAGTTTTTTAAAGATCAAATATTTTTACATATAAATGCTTAAACAGATACATTAAAATACTTGTAATTTCAATGTTCCCCTTTTTGACTGCTCTAGATATTTTAACCATTCAAAGCAATTTGTCCATATAATATCTTACCCGAAACATTGATCTATCTCT